AATGGAACTTGGAAAAATTCGCCGTAAGGTTAAGTAAGGAGTGTCGTCTTTAATCCTCGTATCTTCTGAATGATACAATGATCACTGATGCTACTTCTCATACCACATTCCCCACAAACCAAGGTAGAACCGTACACCGCTAAACTCAAACAGAAAAGAATGAACGAGATAGGGTAGGGTAACATTTTGATGGCCAATCTATTTTGATCAATTATACAGTCGGAATTCTTGTGTACGAAAGGGTTTATGCTTAGGGCACAGATGCAGAAGTCAATCGGTGCATTTTTAGTCAACGTNAGAATATATTCAAAATAGCTGAATCTGTTAGCCATCCTACAGACACCCTGGCCCACTTCATCCACTCCAACACGTGTGCAATCACTTGAACTTTTGACACTGTGATCAATTTCATACAAACACACGCACGCATGATTGAAGCCACAGCTGAATCATTAGGACTCGAACTTCTCAATCCCTGTTTCGTTCTTATTGTTAGTCATATTTAGTGTTATGTAATGGCGTGATTACGAATAACTGAAAACGAGCTTGTTCACCACGTTGTTGTTCTCAATGTGTTCTGCGGGAGTAATGAAACCATTGACATTTGTTCAGCCATCTATCTGTCACTCATCATTGTTTTAATCTATGCATATTATCGATCACCTGACATCTGTCTCACCATGCTGTTCCTGTTCACCTCGAATGATGTCATTTGTTTGCTCTTCTACCAAAGTTTTCCCCCTCCCCCTCCCCGCCCCCCGCCCTCATAACCGCTAGACCTGATCGTGACATAACGTGACTCATACCCTACCCTTTAGCTGTTGGACCGACCGTTTGATGGTATTCGGATTGGTCCTTTGTTTCACCCATGATTCACACTGATCCATGTGCACATTTGCGCTTTGACTTTATTTCACTTTGCGCTTGTTCACTTGACGGAATGGTGAACTCCCTCGTTCATATCACCAGTTCAGGTCTGTTCCTTGGGAAACGCCACGATTTGAGATGTTTGAATAAAGAAGCCTAAAGCACAGGTCAAATTCGTTACGGGGAAAATATGTTTCCGATTTGAGGTGTGTTGGTTATGTAATTGTAAAACTCTATATTTACAGTACCGCATTATTATTTCATATTGATTTGAGTTGAATAACCCTCGAAAACACTTGAATTTGTCTTCTGAGGTTGTGATTCACTCAAAGTTGATCTAGATATTCGCATGGATTTAACAGAAATGAACTGAGGCTACTGACAGTGGTTATCAGCACACATCATTGTAGGACGAACGATAGAAGGGGCGAACTTTATAGTTGCAACGGTTTACTGTTAACCGCCAACCTAAGCTCCGGGACTGGGAGCGATGAACCAAATAGGGCCCCAGTAGGATAGGTATGGTATGGGGCGGGATTACAGGTAGGTCCTTAACTACCAAAGTTGGGGGGCGATGACACCTTGCTGTCCTTGGGGCCCAAAGCACGCTAGTGACAGCTACTTGAACCGACTATTGTTACTGTTGCTTCTGGGCGCATCCATACAAGTTATTCAATCACCGCACTAGTTCAATATCGACAGAAATAACCGTTACACCAAGCTTACCTAGGCCATTAGAAAAGTCGCAATCAAAAAATAAACTTTTGGATGAAAACAGACATCAGCAACCAATGAGCAAATTAAAAATGTTCCTCATGTTTTGAACATTATTTCGAAGGTAATCTTGAAGTCCACCCTTGTTGTGAAGCTTGCGTGTTTTTCTCGGATGTCTATATGCAGAATCACGCTTCGCTTTGATTGCAAGCTGAACTTGCGAATAATGGCGATAGCGTAGTCGTGCCTCTCGATTTTACACTGGGTTCATTCAATTGCTGCATGGGTTGGTTAGTTTCATCTTTCTTCTCAACAGTATTGACGAAAGCTATTTTTCTAGTTTTACTACTGAGTAATAGATAGTAGCTCATTTTGTGATTGAAAAAAGTTAAGAAATTGCAACCCGAAGCTGGTATAAAGATGATGGACTGAAGGTCACTAAGGTTGTCGACTCAAATGTACAAAAAGGTGTACTGCGCACCGAATAACTCTAAAACCAGTCTTTAACAAACCGCAAATGCTAAACACCGCTCCCAGAGTTTACTGTTTAGGACTATTCTGTTAAATGTGTAAACCCAAAGCCATTGTACCAAACTACTCCAAATTGAGTGCCCGATCATACGTTCAAAAAGCGAACAGTGAATTATTCGATGATATCTGCTTGACAATTTCTAAACTTATCCTCTTTTAGTCTATTTCATTAAATACACAATTGTAAACTCAACTTCCAAGAAGAAAGAAAATCGATACCGACATTTTGTTTTACCACTGGTTCGTACGCAATTTCGATGGGATGCGAGCAGTAATCAAAAACGACATTTTCCTTAAGTTAGTAAAGGATAGGACAATTTCACTTACTTTAAATCGGCAACGTATTCGAAATTTCCCAATCTGACCTGATCGATCGCGAACAAGTAGACTGAATGTGGAGTCACATTACAGTGAACCAGTCCCATCGAATGCAAAAACAACAATGCCTCAGACAACTGACGGCAAATTATCAGGGCAGATAAAGTAGGAACTTCTTCCAGCTGTAGAATGTCAGAGAGTGGATAAAGGAAAATTTAAAGTGAGTAGAGAGCAATGATCAAATGAAAATGATGTCGATGTAGGTCTATATAAAAAACAGTAGGCGATTGTGGTTACATGCAAACAACAGTGGCGGATCGGTTTCACTTTCATGTCCCTCTACCAATCGATCAGTTGCTTCGCCACAAAAGCACACCTGACATTCAGCTTTTCGTGCATATACATAGAATGCCGCAGTCCTATGGTAGATAACTGACCGGAATCAATGGGATACTCTAGACATTATGTACTTTCTACTTTTATCCGACTGTCAATCCTGCGTGAGTTTAAGTGTGCTTCGTGGTTGTCTTTGATGGTAGCTTGTCCTGCCACCCGCGGTAAGGTCGTGCATCGCGAAATTTATTTGTTGTGTCATTCATAAACTCAAAACATGAGATTTGATTGTACCAACACTTCCATAGATGGTCTACGATCAACATTTTCAATGAGGACAAGATGTCACTGATATGCTTTTGCTGTTGAATTCCATTTCGGGCTCCAAAGAGTATGACCGAATTACTTAAGATAATACTGTTGGAGAAGCAGTGTTAGCGGACGGTGATCGAACCGATTAATTCTAGTCACATATTGGAGACAATACTGGTTGAAGCATTCCAGATTTTTATATCACCCACTCTCAGTGGCCACGTTTTATAAGAATAGGTAAATAAGCGGCGATCAGAGGCTGGATAAACATGAAGTTTTGCATGGGGGCTTAGTTCTTTATGAAACCACGAAGCCTTCTGAAATTTTAGTAATGCCCTCCTTGCGAAGTCCACACAAAGCTTCACTGAGCCTCTCACTTTTCCGTTTTATTGGATGGTAAATTACAGGTACCTGAAGTGGTCATTCTGTCCTAAAGATTCACTGCTGACGAGGATGGGTCGCGACCGGTCTGAAGACGCTGTATTTCTCTCCAGACCGATGACCGTAGTTTCACATTCGATTCAATTGGGTACCGGATGTAGACTTTCTGGATCCTCTACTAAAATGGCGGAGTCGTCGATAAAGTTGCGTTCAGCGGTTCAAGCTTCGTGACTGACTAGTATTCCTCGAGAATCGGTAAGAGCATAACGCACTAACCGGTTTATGGTGTAGTTGCATAGGATTGGTAACAGAAGACAGCCCCATCAAATGTTCCCCATTAGTGCTCATGTGCATGTTGCGCAGCGGCATGAACATATCAGAACAATGCAAATCTCAGGCGTCCCGTTGTAAAATGATACAGGGTAAGTGTGGATTTACGGAGTCAAATATGAAGTCGATGATACAAGGTGGATTTGGTTGTTTGAAGTTATAGAGATGTTCTAGGATTTGTTGTAGCCTAAAGATCTGTTCAAAACTACCTTCCCCTCAGCGAAAACTAAGACGTGTTCTTGTGCCAGGTTCAGCAACGAACCGATGAAACAGAACAGCTGAGAAAAATTCGACTGCCATGCCAATGAGGCCGATGCCATTGCAGTTGCATGGATGGTTGTTTCCCCCTTCCTGGTACAGGGAGAAAAATCAATGCTGTCATCTTTTGGGAAAATTTTCGCCATCCCAATTTCAACAAAATAGTGTGTTCAGTAAATTCAGTAGAAAGATTAACTTCCATTCGCAGACTGTAGACGAAACACCGTCTCGGTCAAGGGACTTCAGGTTTTTCACTCCCATGATGTCGGCAACGTTTCCTGATCTATTAAGTGGGTAAAGGTTGATTAAAGAAAGATCGATCGGCAAAGCCGGGTGTAAAGTTGAGTTGGGAGAGAGCGAGAGAAGGGTTGAAAAGGTGGCCAAAGCGTGTGGTCCATCTTTGGAGTTTCGTTTTAAATTTCTG